GGGGGAGAGGGACAGTCATAGAACCCTGGAATGGTTTGGGTTGGAAAGGACCTCAATGACCACCCAGTGCCACCCCCTGCCATGGCAGGGACACCTTCCACTAGCCCAGGTGGCTCCGAGCTGGCCTTGAACTGGTGGCACCTCAGAATCAAATGTAGGATTTGATGTCTCCATAATACAGTTAATCATTAGCACTCTTGTTGCATCATTAGCACTCTTGTTGCTTCATTAGTCGTAATTTGGAATAGCTAATGATAGTCAGTATCTGTTTGATTTGCTGGTAGTAAGCTCATAGTAGCTCATAGCAGCTTCTACTGCCCTCTGTTTACTCAACACAAGTAAATAGTAATTTATAGGTATCCGTAGTAAAGAAATTACAGATTATCAATAGTCATGTTTTATAATTAATAACCTGTATTTTTACTATTGATGTTATTACTTATATTGTTACTATTAGTATGTGTTGTTGCCACGAGCATCACAATATTAAGTACCACTGATATTAATACAACACTGTATTAGCACAACAATATGTATAATTATCATCTGTTTGTAATTTATTAATATTGATATGTATTACTAATAACAATTTGTGTTGTAATATTACCATAGTCTTATTACTCACAATGTACCACTATTATTTTGTATTACCACCAGTATTACTATTTTAATTACTACTGATGTTATTACATTAAGATTACCAATGGTAATCTGCACTCTTACTACTAGTTAGTTTGTATTCTTATTATTAGTCTGTGTTATTACCACTAATATCACTATATTAATTATCACCGTTAATACTACTCTGTGATTATTAGTAGCAATAATCCACAAATAAACTAATAATCTGTAATTTTTACTCCTACTTCTGGCCTTTGTTAGTAGCACTGATATTATTGTTAGTGATTGCCAATGCTGGTAGTGTTTTATACCACGGTGGTAGAAGGCAATAATGGTCACTAATACCAAAGTAATTTATGGGAATAGTGATTTACAGTCATTTTAATAAGTTCATGGAAACAAAGGCACCAATCCTTGTGCCCGGTGGGATCCACAGTGCTGGAGCTGAACCCCTGGCAGTGAAGGAGGGCTCAAAAAACAAAGTCATTATCTACCCAAACTAGATAATATTTCTTTATTCAATTATAAATCCGTTATATACACTCATGTATTACATCACATTACATAATATCATATGGTATTGTATCATATCATACTATATAATTTCACATTAATGTGAAATGTGGTGTATCATAAAAATGTAAATATTATCTATTTTTTGCATCTAATATAAAAGGTACTATTATTGCCTATTTTTATCGATGTCATGTATATTTATGTCACTGCTGGAATTATGCACTGACAAGTAATATACATATATTTGCTTTATTCTTGTAATATATGTATTATTGCTTTCCTAGTGGTAATTTTGTTGTGA